GTGTTGGAATCCTACTTCATAACCAGCTTGCCAAACTACCCTTTCTATCTGTCATCAGATTTAGACTGGGAAGGTCATTTAAAAAACAAAACAAAACAAAACATAGGGATGGTTTAAAATATATGCCAAAGCATTATTAAAAGAAAGAGAGAAGGGGGAATGCCACATTGTCAGTGGTGATAAGGTTCTACCAAACCTATTGAGATTCATGCTGCTCAGCTGAGAAACATTATTTAAAGGAATAATTTAGGCTGGTGATTGTGTGGGTATGTATCAAAAACAAAACAGGTCTTTATCAGTTTTCAAGAAAATAGACATGCGCTAGCTGATCTACACTGTCAACATTTAGAAATCTGTTTTGTGGTTTCTGTGGTTTGCAGGGTCATACAGTCAAACTCAATTTAGGAATGTGGTGTACATCTTGAATGTGAATGAGAATGTGACAATACATCTGCTGTCTATCTAGAGGAGCAGGCTTCGTGGGAGCGACAAACTATGAAGCCAAGCACATTTGCTCAGAGCTTGGCAGACTGCAGGATAACACATCTAGGTAAATTGATGTTCTTAACATTATAAAAATGCTTCCTGGGTGCTAGAATTAGAACTCTGAAGAAAGAGCCTATCATTTACAACTAATGAACAACATTATTTGAAATATCACTTGTATTGTACAAATGCTGTTGCAGACATGGGAACATAACACATTTTCTATAAAAACAGTATATGAAACCACAATGTTGAGAATAAATTTGTTATTTTCTTAGGTGTCATGACACTCTTTGATTGTTTTTGTCAATTGAGGAATTAGGTGGCAGAAAACTGCTTTCGAAAGGTGTGGGAAAAGTATTAGACCACAAAAATATAAATGTGACCACGAAAGATAATACAAATAATTTGGATTGCTTGGAGAAGGGAACTTAATTCTACTTACCTTCAGCAGTATTATTCGTACTGACAAACCTTGTGACAACTAAGTTTTTGAATGCTAATTTTATAATGGAAAAACGAATAGTTTTTTTTCAAGAAAACCCTGAAAATTATGTTATTTGTTTAAATTGAAATAAATATCCAAAGACATTTATTGTATCGTACTGTAAGCAAAAATGTTATATTTTAACTAGTCAATGAAGATGTGAAATGCAGTCAATTGCTTTAAAAGAAAGATGAACAGGATGCTTAAAGATGTTTGTATTATATGCCTGGGATGATTAAAAACAGAAATATATTTGAGGCCTCAAAGTATAGTAAAGTAATTTAACACCACTAACTAGAAATAAAATTTTACTTTAACAAAATAAACCTTAACATATTTACTAAGAACTCTCCAATGAGTTGGACATTGACACAGTTAAACCTAAGAGAAGCCTCAATACAATTACAGATATAACTCAGCTTTCTGCATTTTCCTACATATTTGAGATGGCTTTTTATTCAAACCTAACAATACATTCATCAACACGGGCCTCACATAAGTAAGCAAAAGCATTCTGAATCTTCTAAAATCCACTTGGACAGTTCCTTAAATATTTATCCAGGGAGACTTTCCCCCACTTTCTCTAGCCTCCACCTTTCTTATAATTCTCCCGTTAGTTTCTTAAAATGCTGGTAGCTGATGAGAAAGGCTACTCTGAGGTAGTTGCCATTTAACGTGTCTGTTCCTTGTTGTAGTCAGGTACACACAACTATAATGGGATAAGATAGAGAAGAATCTTAGCTCAAGCTTCATTGAATTGCTTATTGGAAGCATGCCATTGCAGTCTGATCGGGGAAATCTTCACTGTCCTACCAATGTTGATGTTGCTAAAAAGCTAGCTTCCAGTTAGACAGAAGTCAAGGAAGAAAGAGACATCATAAAAAGGAACTTGTTTATCATAGGCTTTGTTGCCTTAAATATGCCTGTTTAGAGAGACTAAACGTAGGTCCCTTCTATACTGCCATATAATCCACTTCAAAGCAGATAATCTAGATTGTATATGTCAGTGTAGAAGGGCCCAAATTATGACTATTAGCTTCAATGACCTACTGTAAGTATAATTAACATACAATTCTAACTCATAAACAACCTGGCTGCTGGAATTGGGATTAAACACCAAAGTCTTTTCCTATCTGACCTCAAAAACCTAGCAGTTGAGAGACTTGCCAGTAAAACTGTCATCTTGGTTAAGAGTGCACTCCTAATTTATTTTTTAAAATATTTTTATTAAAATATATGTTTTCCTAAAAACATTAAAAGAAGGGCGGGAAAGAATATAAGATGATAGAACAGTAACGGGAAAGTGGTTGGGAAGGGAAGAGGGTAAAGGGAATAAGGGAAAAGGGGGAAGGTTCATTATTTATTTATTTATTTCATGCATTTCTACCCTGCCCTTCTCCCCTCGAAGGGGGACACTTCCAATCATCTTCATTGTAGTTTAGTTTGTTTGTAGATTTCCCATTTTTAGTCTACACTCTTCATTCATCCTTTTTTAAATGAGATAATTCTTCAGTAAACTTATTGAACTATATTATCATATTCAAATTTTCATTTAACATATATTCTTTAAAAGGTAGGCAATCCATTGTTTTCTTGGGTTTTCCTTGATATTTTGTTACTAATTGGGTCAATTTATCCATATTCATACTATCCAATACTTTTATTAGCCATTTACTCTCCAAGTAAACTATTTCAGCTGCCATTATTACATAATTAAACAATATGTCCATATCCATATCTGTCATTCCCAAGAAAAAGTATTTTGGTTTAAGCTGTGTTTTCATATTGAGTATTTTCTGATTTCATTCCTAATTTATTATGATGGCTGAGAGCCAGCAGAACTGATACTAGATCAGCTCCGACTATGTTGAATACTAAACCCTCTTGAGATGAGGGATGTTGGAAATTGCTAATGTTCTCCACCCCAGACACTTGGTCTAGTGTCAGCTCAGATGGCCCTCAGTCATCTTTTCTAATTTGGATTGAATTGGATCCAACCAATGTACTTTCCTAAGGAGAAATGTTCACTTAGTTAATAAGGAGTTTTATTTAACAACATTAAATAAATCCAAATATCACCATGGATTAGAGCACTTACTCTTCCATCTTTTTGAAGATCCTCATCTTTTTTGAGACACTCTGTGACATTTTAAGAAGCAGAGTCCTGTCACCATTCCTGTACACTTTGTGATATTCCCTTCTCTATTATCTTCAGTAGCAGCAGATTTTTTTCAATAAAAGTTTGTATTTGTGCAAAATGCTCACATAAAAAATAGGTATTGTTCCATTATCTGGGTGGGGGTCACCAGGGGGTGCTAGAGAGAGAAGGATTGTCCCATTTATTGGGGGGGGGACCATTTTCACTGGTCATTATACCTCCCATCTCTCCATATCATAATCAAGGGTTGTTACCACAACGGGGACATAGGTGTGTGTGTGTGTGTGGGGGGGATAACATGAAAACTGGGGTTAATGGTTTTCCTCCTTCAACCTACCTTCCACCCCCATACACAGGACAACCCTTCTTTCTCTAGCACCCCCTGGTGGCCTCTTCCCATATAATAACATTTAATATAATATATAATAACATTTAATTCTAATTTACCTGTTGTGTCACTAAAATGTTGAAAATCAAGAAACTGAAAATCAAGCAACCAAGATGGTTAGGGAAGAAGAGAGATGTACCCATTATATAATGGAGAAAATTTTAAACATTGTGATACAGATAAAACTAGAACTCTTCTTATTGGGCATACTGGAAGAATAACATGAAAAAAATATTAAAGAATTCTACAACATATGATCAGGGCTGCAAGATTACAACATACATCAGAAGCGAGAAACAGAGCACCTCTGTCAACTGAAGTTTGGCCATTGAAGATATACAATTTGGCAAAAATAGACAAATTGATAAATGTCAGTAAATGTAATGTAATTTAAGCAAAATTGGCGATCTATTGTTGAATATTGGTTATCAGCCATAGCCTATGAAGAATTCTAGATTTTATAATAGGTAGAAAAGAGCTTATTTTATTTAGTTTAAAGAAATAAGTAAAAAGCCAATATTTTTAATACTAAAGGAAGTTCGTTTTTTTAAAAAAAAAATGAAATACTACCATCACCTAGACAGCTGGAAACCAAGCCCCATTTTCCTCTCTTTTCTTTCCCCCCCTTTCAGTATTATTTGGTACTTAATGTGTCCTAATTTGTAGTGAATTTGTCCTATCCCATATGTATTTTTTATACAGTGTAAAATTGTTATTGTGTGTGAGTACATTCAATAATAAAATAAGCATATTTTTGGGAATGATTAATTAAAGACAGTGAGAACCAAACTTGACTGGACATGACATCAAACACATCATTAACCACCCCATCTGTTGCTAGTTTTGAAAAAAAAAGTTGCTGTAGCAAGAGAGGGAAATTTTCAGTGGGACCAAAGCCCACAAAATAGGGAGGTTTAACTCTGACTTCCCCCATTATGAACTTGATTAAGATCCCATCCCAGCTATTATAAGGTCCAGAAGGAAAGTGCCTACTTATTCCAATGGTAATGTTGCCATGTAAAATAGGGACTTAGCGTCTGTACTTTGACAGCTGGGTAGAAGAGGGATTTCAATAGGTGTTGCTTGTGATGCAGTCTGTCTGCTGAAATTTCTTCTTATATACTCCCAGTAAAGGTACAGAAGCCCTTTTCGTTGTTTTAGCTAATAAGCTAATAAGGAAAGGGAAAAATTGCATCACCACTCTTTAAAAAATAAAATCCCAAGTATTAGACTTTGTTTTATGTTTGAGCCTATTTATATTTTGCAGCAAAAGTTGAGCAGCAAAATTTTCCTGAGTATTTCCTGTATCTAGGTCCTGCATTTTAAGATGTATGGAACATTAAGAGATTATGCTGGTTTTTAAAAAAATGAAATATGCATTATTAATGATGGGTTTTGTGAGTTTTAAAAAAGTTGATATAAATCTGCCTTTAAACTATTATGACTGTGTTTAGAATATTGATTTTTACATGTTCCCATAGAACGGCAGACAACAGCGTGAAAAGATGAGTTGAACCACCAAAAAAGAGCTTCCCTCCATGTGATGAGGAGGGGGAGAAGCTGTGACAGAATGGAGCATGGGGTAATGCATCCCCACGCCACCTTCACGACTGCTGGCAGGATGAAGTGATCTAGGACACCTTTGCCAGCATATGTGACAAGGCTGTAAGTCATCTTTGTAGCCTCTTTGTGAAACCACGAATAGAGTAATGAAATAGGTAGGACCTCTTGGTAAGATGCCACAGTACTCTCCCCATGTTCATAAAGAGTCTTTAACAGGTCACAAGATTCATCACTTATTTTAAAAGCAGAAGATAATATTTGCCAATACATAAAAAGATAGCAATGTGTACTTTGTAACATGTCATTGTTTATTCATATGGACCTATTTCTGGTATGGAACACTTTGATAAATAAACACAACTATCTGTTCAGTACATAGATTCAATGGGGCCATTATAGCACATTTTTAGCTCTCAGCTGATAATTTTTCATTCATGCACTCTCTAAAACAGGTTGCTTTGGGCAACATCATTCTATCCTTTCACAACAACACCCCATCATTTACAAATATTGCTGCTTTAAACTTGACATATGAGGCAGATATAAGGCAATAGTAACCTGGCAGTAAACAAAATTCATTTCCTTGCTGCAATGTGACATCATTTATGGGGCTTTGTGCAAATTCCAACTCTGTTTGGGAATAGGATACTGAATCTTTGACACATAGTGTAAAATTAATCATCTTAATGTCTAATTTGTCATAATTTTCTGCAACAATACTGTCAAAGGTATCTGTTATTACCAAATCTTTCCCCAGTTTACATTCAATAGCTATATCATATAACCATAGTCAAAGAAAGTGGGGAGAATCCTTTTGGGATTTTAAAGTAGCCTAATTGAGGGCACTTCCACACAGAAACTTAATCTGGAGTAAGAAAGTGGGATTAAGAACTCTGGTACCTTAAGGAGAGTCCTCACACAGAGCCATTAGTCTCAGGAAATGGTTTCATGGCATCCAGAAAGATTTGGATAATACAGATTGAAGGGAACCATAAAAAGTTTGGGACATCCACCCGAAGTTTCCTTTTAATTTTTGTTTCTTAATGACTCTCCAACATGCTTTGCACCTCATTAGTGTCAATGTGGATGTAACAAAGTGCAAACGAGCCGATATCTTGTCATTGTCTCTTATAGTGACGCAGCCGAGTAGTAGTAAGATTTTATATTGATTTATCAGACGGGGAAATATAGAAAAATAATCCCCACCTGCTCAACCAAATTATAACGATATACACCTCCACTACAGACTAGCTCACAAAAAATATAGAGGGAGTATGGTTGTTGATCCACTATATATTTAAAAGTTAGGAACTGGGAACCACTGGAATTGAGAGACTTAAAATGATTATTCAAAAGAATTCCACTGCCAATCATATTAAGAATAAACAGGCTGAGGTATTACTGAGAGATTGTTCAGTAACACACTCTAGGTCATTATACTTTTCTTAGAGGCTGCTGAAAGTTGACTTGAATAATGCTTTGACCAGAAAGGTATTCACACTGAGGCTGGTATAAGTTGACAAAATTAACAAGAACGTTTATTGAACAGGCTTGAAATATTCAGGTACAAATGCTTATTGCTTTCAGTAAAATACTGGCATAAAAAGCTTCTGGTTGTTTTTGAGTAAAGATCTTAAAAACTTCTGGGTTACAAGTCTTAAAAGTTTCAACACAGAAAATTACTTCAGGAAATGAATCTCTGAAAGTAACTCCCAAAAATCCCCCTTAGGAATCTAGCCAAAACCCTGAACTAGCCTTCCTTAGGAAATGAACAGACCACTAATGAGGTTCTGCTCCCACAGTATTCTAGCTATATTCTCAATAGCTACTCTGAATACTACTCAAAAGACTGACCCAAACTTCTTCTTCAAAACCCAAGCTGCTCTCGTTAACACCCACACTTCATCTCTACCTGTTCCAAATTCCAACTGGCAAACTGGGACCTCAAACCTCAGTTTAAAAGACACTTTTTCCTTCAGACCACTTAGGCTCCTCCCCATCTTTCTAACCAATCCTAGCCTTCTGATTTTTCCCTCCTAGACTAGAACACGCCCCCTTAAGGCAAACCTAACCTAAGATGGCATCTCCCTGTCTCCCTTTCTGAAAATGGATGCCGTGTCTTCGCCAGGCCCACTTCCTTAGGCTTTTGCCAGCTAGCTAAGGTAAGGGATTCATTACATCTCTCCTCGCCCTTCTGATGTCTTTAAATTTGCCCTATGGAACCCTGTTTCCCTTTGGGGTCACTTGCCTGCAATGCTGGTGCCCACTGTGTAAATTAAAGATCTGCTTAATTTCAGAAATACGAGAACAAGGGAATTGTTGGAGAGTTCTCTGTTTACATCTCTCATCAGCTGTTTTGGGATTATAAAATGAGAATAGCCATTGGAATAGTCTACGCCAGCGTATTGCAAGGAACTCTTGGGGTATGGTTTTTTTATACAGTGCTATGTATAAAGAAGTATCCAATACCTTCTTATGCAACAGTCAATTTTGCAAAATAATAGCTGCTGGATACCACCTGAACACAGCCTCTTCCAATGATTAGCCATGGTGGTATATTGGGAAAATGTCCTTGTACTACTTACTGCTGGGCTGGCTGCCTACTTCATTCCACTCTGACATCCAGACCTCCCTGTAACTATGATGGTGGAACATTAGGCCACACGAGCTGAAAACAGGATCGTATTCAGAATCATCAGATCAAAGTACCAATGGCTGTTTGTAACCAAACATTTACAGTCAGCACCTGCACTTAACTTTCCATAGATGAAGATAAAAAACTTTTTGCAGTAACCATTTAATATAAAAGCTTCTGTTTCTATCCACTTCCACACTCTATTCTTCTGCAGGTTCTCCACATACATAGTACTGGTCTCCAGGGATCACATAATTTTTGCTACAAAGGGCAATGATCCATTTCCCTAGTTTTAGCATGCCACTTACTGCTTAGTGCTTACACTTATTGTTAGTGCTAGAGAAAAAAAGCATTTTTTCAGGCATCCACTTGCATGTCTTCTATTATAAAATTAGAATTGGGTTCCATCAGCTTATTGATGTATTAATATGTTATCTTGAGGATATTATCTAGTTCCTCATGCCTGTATTTCCAAATCTTAGCCTTATGATATTTTGACTACATTTTGCATTTCAATTAAGGACTCAGCCAAGGTATAGAAAAGCTTTAATTGTTTCGGTGTCAGTGAGACAGCAGCTGGCTGACGTTCTCACCTTCCCTTGCAAAAATAATCCATAGCCCCACTTCTGCCTGTCAAACTTTAATCATTTATATTTCTTTATCATCCACTTTAAAGTTATGCAAATCATCAACAGTTTCTTGGTTATTTTTAGTATTTAAAGGCAGCCCTTTTTTACACTCTTCCTGAAATTCCATCAGTAGTTCTTTCAAGGATTAGCAGAAGCTAGTAATATGGTGTCATCTGCATGTTTCTGCAAATCTGCCATTGATGTTGTCTCCTGATCTAGCTTTTCATATGATATTTTCTGCATACAAATCCAATTGATAGGATGAAAAAATACAGATTGGCCTGATCCCCTTGCCAGTTGGAAACAACTGTGTTTCTCCACATTGTGCTCTGATGTTTGAGTATAAGTTACACATGTGAACAATTAGATGTTGTGCCAAAGCCACTTCTTTTGGAATGATAAATGGTTTCTCGTGATATACCCAATAAAAGGCTTTGCTACAGATTTTTCCCAAAATATTTTGGTGCGTTCAATTATCCAACATGAACGACCCATATTGCCTCTTCCTTTTCTTAACCCTGCTTGAATATTTGGCATCTCTTGCTACCTAAATGATAAACATCTTTGATGTAAAATCTTGATCATCACTTTACTTACATGAGACATCAGTACAATAACCTGAATATGTGCTTTTCCCCCTGGGGAATGCAATCTATGTTAATTATTTTTGTTGGTCAGTTGGTTAGTTGCTTAGATTTCCTCCCAGATGCCCATGTAGAATCTTTCATTTTCTTCCTCTTCTGCCTCAGTAGTGAGAGGATAAAGTTGTATGATGGTTATTTTATTATTTATTTATTTATTTATTTATTTATTATTCGAACTTATATGCCGCCACTCCCCTGGGGCTCAGAGTGGTTTACAAGAGTGGCTAAAATCTAACACAATTTAAAAACAATTATAATGATAGATTTTCCATAAACTATTGGTGCTACTCTTTATACACTTGATATTATATTCCCTACTTAGTTTGCTATATCTTGATAACTACTACTTCTTTCATTTTCATTTCTAGAGCAAAACGCTCATCCTATCCTATCCTATCTGATTTGTCAGTTATCCACTTCTTTAGGCTTCATGCAAATCTACCATTTGCCAAATATACAATCCTATGCTTTTCCTTTCCATTTCTGGCCAAATACCTTAACTATTGGCTCGGCTCATTGAGTGTGAGGTCTGCCCAAGGGCCACTTGTGATCTCTTGGTATCCAGTTCATTAGTCGACATGTCCTTTGGTAGTATCTGTTCATGCTATATGCCCCGCCTATTTTCTTTTTGCTTCATAGATTTAATTGACCACATCACCTAGCCCTGTTCTTTGACACAATTCTTTATTGCTGACTTTATCTGTTATTGTCACACCACACATCCTCCTTTCCATTGCTTTCCGAGTCACCGCCAGTTTTTCCTCCTCTAACTTTGTTGTTGCCCATGTTTCAGATGTGTATAATATTGTTGGTAAAACTGTAGTGTTGAAGATGTCTGCTCAGACCTTTATTGGCATCTTATCATCTGTTAGCACTCTCCAGTTTCCATTAAAAGCTGTCCAAGCTGCCTTGTGTCTTCTTGCCCATTCACCATTTGCCAAATTATTCAACTGTACTTGTTCAGGAAAACACTCATAATTATCTGAATATGCCATTTTTGTTCAATTTAGCTCATTCACATTAAGTATGGCTAAATTTATGCATTTCATTTCTTGTTTTATAATTTATTATTTTCCCCTAAATCATGCTTCTCACATTCCAGGTTTCTGTCATATATACTGTGCAGCTTCAGGGCTGTCAAAAATAATTCTATTATCAACAAAGCCTCTCATCTTATAGGAGTATTCTGTTTTACCAGTACGGAAAAACAGTATCAGATCAATGCACTGAAGAAATTTAGTTATTTCCCATTTCCTATGGCAACAACCCGTGTTAAACACTACATTCAAATATACAGTAGAACAGGAAACTGAGATGAAAAACTTCCATCTGAAAGAAAAAGCGTAATATCAGTTACACTATGAAACACCTAGGCCAACATTTTCATGGTATTATTGCAGCTGGCTGCTTCCAAATTGCAGCTGAACATTGTAAGGAAAAACAGATATGCTGTTGAATTGCAAAGCTGAAGAAAATGAAGTTAATTAATGTGTCATCCATCTGGAATTTGAAAACTCTCTTGCCTGGGGAATATATCACCATACAATGGTTCTTCCCATTTGTGCAGTAGTACAATAACAGGCATGGATTGAATAGAAGCTTTAACTAAGCTTCTTTAAATTGTCTCTACTTGATGTTATAATAATAATAAATAAGGAGAGTATTCAGCTCTGGTAAGTACTTGGATGGCAGATTGCCCATGAAAACCAGACTATACTGTATTTTAGGGGAAGAAATTGGCAAAACTATCTCTGAATATTCCTTCCTTATGAAAACTCTACAAAATTAATGGGCTACCAAAAGCCAACAAGCAACTTGAAGGCAGACACAGTACCACCAATGGTACAATACCTTCATCTTATGCCCTAGTATACCAAAGTACACATGATTCCAATGTATACCAAAGTATCTATATCTTCCATTACAGATGCTATATGTTCCTTTATATGATGGTGGATATGTTAAAATATACTGGTTTTTAATAAACAACTCTCTGTTTATAATCTTTCTACAAAGTCGAGTAAAGAACCGAGCCTAAACCAGCATAGACTTTTCTCTTTTTAACTTCACCACCTCAGTGGTGCTTATAAACCCTTATTGTCCAGAAAAGAATTACACTTTTCTTGCTCTATGAAAATTGCCTCCACTTTTCTTCCATAAGCAAACTCCCTGGAGCATCTGTTTGTAGCCTTTGAGGTGTTGTAGTCCTGGCCAGGAATGTTTCTTGGGTTTAATTGACTTTGGCATTGATGAGAGGAGTAGACATGACTTGCCCTAGTTTCTCTTTTAGCTCTTGACCACCCAGCCCCATCAGTTTGTTCGTTTTTTAAAAAAAATCAGTTCAGGGGCAGGCCTTATTGAGAGAAACTGGGCAAAGATGTTTCTCCTCCACCTGGTAATAATTCAATGTAGCAGGCAGAAACCTTCCCCTTCACAAACCCCATTATATTCTGCTGTTGTCTCACATATATGTTTTAGGTTGTTCATGGTGTAGGTTATTTTATACCTTATGTCTCAGTTTTGGATACATCTACAGTTTTTCATCCCTTTCACTGCCATAGTTCAATATTATAGAATCATAGGAGTTGGTGAGGTACCAGCACTGTTTACAAGAGAAGGCTAAAGACCTTATAAAACTACAACTCCTATGATTCCATAGCCATGGCAGTTAAAGTATTTTTAAATTGCATTAATTCTACTGTGTAGAATCACCCTTTGTTGGTCGTTGAGGCACAGGATCAAAATCATTTTTTTGGAGACACATCCCGTAGAACCATCTTCTGTAATCTGGAAATCCATTGATCTTGGTGTGAAAGTGTTTAGAGACACACTTATCAGTGAAATCTCTGTCAAGAAGCACACAAAATTATTTGAGTGATAATCATTGGGAAACTACTGAAAATCTTTAGTTAATGGTGCTAACAACCATGTTTTAAAAGAGTTGATCATGTTTACTTTAGACTATGCTAAGTAAATTGTATCAAAGAATTGGTGCAAAGTGCTTCCAAATAATCAAGATATACATTTAGATAAATTAACTGCAAAATTACTTGAATCCTTGGTCAAAGGAATGGCTGTTAGAGATTGTGAAATGATTTAATCATTTTAAATAAAGCGTTTGATCAATACTTTGAACAGAGAGAAGATGGAATCCTAATTTAAAAGTGTGTCACTTGCAGAAGGTTGGGATTAGGTATACACCTCTTTTGTTTGCAAAACTGTCTTACTGTGAGTGGAATTCTCTTTTCTCACTTGATTTTTCACATCTGGC